TTTCTGCGATAGTCAGGATTTTGCATGCTACAAAGTAGGTACTTCAGCTCGTTGACATTTCCATCAGCCGCATTTTAACAGGATTCTGTATATTTTATTTCTATTTCCGTTGCTGTAATCTTAGTCCGTGACAGCAGTCGCACATACAGCGTGTCAAGCAAATACTTCGATTACCGATGCATGCCGACCATATTTTTCGTCTCGCAATTATGTCCCAAGTGATATAAAGACGACAGCAGAAATCATTAAACTGTATTCTTCAAGGCCACGGGAGGTCTTCGCCTCCTTTACGCCGTTGTTAGCTTCGCTGCGCTGTGAGTTCTGAGCTGTCGTCACTCGCCTGTGCTTCGCTGTTCGTGTTGCACTTGTTCGATTTTGCTGTGACCTTGAAGTATTCATATTGGTAATGGCTGCTGTGGTCCCTCAGAAAATAACAAAAGGTGCTTCGTTTGGGCTTCGAACTGGACCCATCTATCTTAAGTGAGGGTTACGACCCCTAGGTTGCGCCTTAAGGACACAGTAATGAATATCAGAGATCCATAAAAGACGGGATTTTTCTCACTACTTGAACGACGAAGCCTGTTAAGGACGCTGTAGTGTGGGGTTAGATTGCTGGTAGCAGTGACAATTGTACGAACTTACGACTTGAAGCTCAGATAAAAGCATTCCTTACAATGAGTTTACAGTAAGTTAGTGCTCTGACGACATGTTTCTTTTGTACTTATTGGATAAGACTAGTACTTTATATGCTTTAAGTTCGGAAGCTAAAAGTAAATAACTTTCAACTCCCAATAGTGAGTGTGTTAGATTTGGTATGGAAATATACTACAGTTTTTTTTATAAATAATGAATTTTTCAGGACGTAGCACCAAAGTACAAGAATTAAATTACTATGTTAAATCATTTGTAAACGCTTGATTGCAATATTAACGAAACACGTTTACTTTATTATTGACAGAAGCGTTGCCATTTTACAGTACACTAATGTTCTCTTTAAATGGCTCGCTGTAATGTAATGACACCCCTAGAATGTGTGCAAAATCAACTCGAGAGATATATTTAACGGTCTGAAACGATGTCTCACAAACAACACGCTAAACCACTTTAGTCTCTTCAGCTCACCGGCCAATGTACTCTGAGGATAAACACAGTTAATCCTAAGGACACGTAGCTAAAGGCTCTTAAATTCCCTCATTTACCGACAGTTAAGATCTGAATTTCAAATATGGAACCGCCAATTGTGAATCAGAGTTAAAACTCCATGTCGTTTGTTTCGTCAGTATTATTTGGGTGCTCATAAGTCGCGAATCGAATTTTTGGGGCCGCAGGGTGGTGAAGGAGGGGAAGAAGCCCGATCTGTCTTGCCGCAACTTTTTCAATATCTTTTTTCTATGCGTTGTTACAGAAATAATTCGACCACCTTTTCAAAATAAACGGATAATCAAACGTTGTTACAAATCTTTTTCTTATATATAAAAAAGAATTCAGCGCAAAGCGAAGGGGGGATGAACATTTTCGGGTGTAAAGTGGCATGTTTTAAGGAAAGCGTTTTATTGAAACCTTCATTTAAGGACGTATTTCAGGATTTTCATGTCAACTATCTTATTTTTAATGGGCCTCTTCGTATTATCAACAACATGCTTTAAAGACGTATCAATATCACCATAGCAACAAGACCTCCATAATCATCATCATATTAAACCACTTATCTAAGTCTAAAATGAATTTTTCATAACAAAGTTATTTAGAGGAATTTGTGATAATGATAAAAATTTTCTGAAAATGAAGAGACTGTGGAAACGAATGGATAAAAGTGATAGAAAGCCAAGTAAGCCCGACTACTGCAACTTTGTCATTCATTGAACAAGTGCCTAGAGACCGGATTCACTTGTTCAGAAGTTCGCGTGTTAGTAAGAAGCCAAACCAAACGTCCTTAAGTATAAACATTTCTTTTAGCGTTTAAATAAGGACCTAAGTAATTACTTAAACTTGTTATGTGTGAGTATGTTACTAATATGTCAACGAGGATGTTTCAGGGGATATGCAAAAGATTTTGAATAGTGTTTGAACACACGTGTGGTAAACGCCCACCAAAATATAAAAAGAAACATTATCGATATTTGCCAGTAGTTAGTCCATAATGACTTTCAGAACGTGCAAAATTGTGGATGACTGAATGTAAATACCAAAGAGTAATCAGGCTCGGGGGCAAAAAACATGATATCACACAGAATATGCTAGCTTCAGAACAGAGAGCCCTGTTATATGAAACGGGTTGTACTACATAAAACATAACCTAACAAAAATCACGTGCAACAATACAAAAATTAAATCTGTGGTAGCTCCACTCTCTTCTAAAAGACTCTCTTAATTTTACCCGTCTCTCTCGAGTTAACGTCATTCTTGTTGCTAGGCCGCTGCGCACGCCATTTGAGTAAATGTAGTGTAAGTACGAAACACGTGTATTTAGGTGCAAAAAGCGTGTTCATTCACGAGCATTACTTCGCATAAAAATTATTTTTCTCCTGTCTGTGAAGAATTTAGCAACGCGTAACCTGACAAGAACGTAAATAATAAAGCAACAGTAAGTTGACTGTAACAATAATTGAGAAGAGGTGAAGTTGCAGCGACAAGTTCTCATCGAATGACAAAAGAAATCTAAAATTATTGCCGAATTAAAGCAGCGCAAAAGCTTGTGTAATACTTAGGGTCACGCTTTAAACAAAATGTCTTGTATAAAGCAGAAAAATCTATACATGCCAGATTTATAGCAAGTGTCAATTTTTAATCGTGGACGATAAGCAGATAGAAGCAGCAGGCACTTTGCCTGCATGGCCTGGCGACAGGCTACAGAATTCGTAGACTTTTAGGACATACAAGTTCATACAAGAATAAACAGCATTTGCGTAAGACAAGTGACAAATGTTGATTGAGTAAACATACATGCATTAGTACAATAAACAAAACATCTCTTGAAGTTGTAACCTGACGCCAAGAGACGAACTTCGCGAAATCAACTTTCAACTCAGCGTCTAAGAAATTGCAATAACATTAACTTTTCTGCAGGAGGAATAATTACAGAGAAAAACACGTATCTGCAACTTACATTTAACTTCTCATGAAATACGATCGTAAGAAGTGAAACATTTTTTTACGATGTTTTTTCCCCATAATTTGTGTTAATCTATATTAATGCCAATCCATTCCGTACTTTACTTTCACAATTACGTTGAAGTATCAAGGTAACAACATATTTCATCTTCTTTCAAAATTAATAAAGCACTTTTTTAAACAGTGTGAAAATGTGTGAACTGCTGGAACAAATACATTACGCAAAGAATGAAGACGTTATGTGACTATTTTTTTCAAAACTTTTAATAAAATTAGGTGTAATTATTCACGAATCTTCGTAATAACAAGGGCAACCCTAATGTCACAGAGTCACTTTCATAGGCTAATAATATTCGTCTTCCTTGTCAAGATGCATCACTAGTTACATGTCGTGTTCACGAAAAATGTGGCGATTAGGTCAATGTAAGACATCGGCCATGTTACATAACTTCAATGAAATAATTATTGCAATGCTTAAATAAATTAAAAATAAAGGAAATGGCTGTGACGTCATTACAGTGTGTTCAAATGACTTTGCAAGTAGAAGTACATATTTGCGTGGAACAGCTGTGCTCATATTGCGTAAAATCAATTTGTTCCACACATCTGACGTTTTTAGGAATGTTTGCACTCACCCCACATTGACGACGACCTTGAGACGACCTACAAGGAAACCGGACTTTTCTTTTTGGGCCGAAGATTGGAGGACCCTGACTAACTTTCCGTAATGCAAAAAATTAAACAGCAGCTGGAATCATCGCCCTTGTCCAGTGTTCTCCAGATAGGTCAGTTTTCTCGACTTTTGGCCAGGATCGGCTTGTGAGTCTGTATTAGACGTAGCGTAAATGTGAAAGTTAACACATCATCATTAAATGATATGAGAAGTGTAAGTCAGAAACCCACAACAAGTAAAAACGTGTTTACCATAAATCTGTGATACCGAGCGATGGAATTTGGAGATTCCGCATTTAAATCTCAGCCCCGAGACGCCTCCATCAATATGGGATGCTTACTCATCTCCCTGATGATAGAGGTAGCAAGGGCCTCCGAAACATTGGCAGAATCAGGGCGATCAGGTAGCAGGTACCCCTGAAACGCCGGCAAAACTCTTAACAGACTACACGGCCCTACAATGAAGAAGACAGCCATCTTTGTACTTACCGCCGCGAGGACTTGAAATCTCAACAACTAGTGGACCATTTACCGATTAATAGTAATTTCGCTATTATGGAGCATGAATGTTCATCACTTTCCTCACAAAAGCCGGCTATGCGATTATCCTACCTTTAAGCTTTACTTTTTCCGAAAGGTTCCTTCAGAATTAATGACTGACGATGTTACCATTGAGGTAATTAATTAGAATAGCGATAAGAAAGTGCCCGATTCAAATCCGGGCGATCATTATTCCGACAGGTTTCACAGAATTTTTAACTGGCCGTCCAGAGCAGCTTCTGGGGTACCCAGCAGCACGCGTTCCCTCACAACCCTCCGGAGAAATCGGTTTGATGCTGACTGTCCCGCAGTTCGATACTATCACGTTCTTATCATTTAACGACGCTGTTAGTAACTACATCGTCGTATTATGAGACAATTATAAGGCAAAGGTGTGGTGGTGCAGTCACAGCTGCACGCATTCTTAAGATCGGAATTAGATTCTGACTTCTTAGATGTTTTCCTCAACCTTTGCATGCAAATAATCGGATAGTACTTATCTCTTAATTAAGCGGTCGTGGCCTTTGTTAAGGTATTGTCCTGGAATTTTTCTCAGGAACCGAGGAGATCAACGAAACCTTCAGTCAGAAAAGGCGGGCTCCGGATCGAGATTTGCACCCGGAACCTCCCGGGAACTTCGTAGAAGACAACGAATGACGAAATGTGTTTTGTTTCAGGCGCAGAGTTCGCCACGAAGAGTAGCAGTACCGGTTCTCGTCAAGGATGGTAAACCGTGTTCGGGAACCGGAGACGGGTCAGTTGGAGGCGGGCGTGGAGGAATCGGCAATGGCCCGTCACCGCAGACAGCCGGCGCGGGGGTTACACACTGTTCCCACAGCCCGGCGGGTTCAGG